ACTGCACTTCAGCCTGGGCGACAGAGTGAGACTCCAACTCGAAAAAAAAAAAAGAAAAGAGAGGTAGAAGGAAAACCCAAAGTGAGGAGGCAGGAAGAACAGAGAGGTGCCATTAATGTCTCTAACCTATCCCTCCCCCCACCTCCAAGGGCTTCCTCTTTGGAAGCTGAGAAATGGAGAGAGGTGAAAAGGGAGGCAGGCGTTTAAATCTGGGGAAAATAAGAATGGAAAGTCTGGAATGAGGATGGTAAGAGTAATAATGAAGCAGCAGGGTGATGGTGGTTCTGAAGACCCCGGGTGGGGAGATTTGAGAAAGGTTGGTCGTCGAGGGAGACATGAAAGGATGAGACACCCACATCAGTCAAGAATAAGAAGAGGCAGGAGGAAAGACCCTGATCCTGAGGAGCCAAGCGGCAGCTTTCACTTTTTATAGTTACAATTTTTCAACACGTTAAAATATTCCAGGTCAGGAAATAACAATGGCAATATGATTATCAGGATCATTACTAGAAGATTAATTTTATTGAGGACTTATGTGCCAGGCACCATTCTTAGTGCTCCATACTATTAGCTATTGAATCCTCAAAACCACCCTGAAATACTGAGTATAACATCTCCATTTTGCAGTTGAGGAAACTAAGTCAGAGAGAGGTTAAGTTTAAGTGGCAGAGCACAGATTCCAACCCAAGCAGTTGGTCTTCAAAGCCCATATTCTTCCCCAACCATGCTAAACAGAACAGTAAAGAAATCAAGGGATAGCCCCCAGGTCAGAAGATAACTACGGTAGCTATAATTTATTAGGTGGTTATTACATGCCAGGCACTTAAACTAGAGGTTTTACATAAGTTACCAAACTTTATTTCATAGTCACCATAACTTATAAAGTAGGTATTACAACTCTTGCCGGCTGCGGTGGCTCCTGCCTATAATCCCAGCAATTTGGGAGGTGGAGGTGAGAGGATTACCTGAGCCCGTGAGTTTGAGACCAGCCTGGGCAACATGGTAACACCTTGTTTCTACAATAAATAAAAAAATTAGCCGAGAGTGGTGGCACACACCTGTAATTCCAGCTATTTGGAAGACTGAGGTGGAAGGCCGAGATTGTGGTGGTGTAGCGTGCCGCTGCACTCCAGTCTGGGTGTCAGAGTGAGACGCCAACTCAAAAACATAAAAAAACAACAAACATACAACTCCTGTCACTGACAGTCCCTGGAATCCAAAATTCTAATATACCTACTTACGTAATATCCCTATTTACATTTCTATAGTATAGATACACACACACACACACACACTTCTGCATGCCTTTTTGGCAAGCTGGATAACTATAGTTCCCTTGGAATTATAAATCACTCCCATGGGGATAGTTAGAAAGAAATTTGAAAAAGGAAGATATCAGGGGATAGGAAGAGAAAAGGAA